TCCTGTGCAATGTGCTCCAGATGACCCTGCTCGAGCTGGGGGGTTGGACTCGATGATCTCCAGAGGTGCCTTCCAACCTCAACTGTTCTGTGAGTGGATTGGCAGAATGCACAGGCTTCTATGGCATGCTGCTGGTGCTCTCATGGCATGTTAGTGGGCTGTAGTATGTCCTTTGAACATCACTGCTTCATGTGAAGAGTGTTAGCCTGGTATAATTATGTATTTCTTCTTCTGCCCACAGTGACTTCCATGGATAAATGAATGAAGGAAGATTAAGAAATTGTCTTCCTTTTTTTTTTTTTTCAGTCTTCCTTTTTTCCCCTGCATTTTATAATGTCACCTGAAAATATGTGCTAGCATTCTGTTCCTTGGTTTAAGATTTCTTTTAAAGCACAAACCTATCCAATGTGAATGTGAGGTAATCTGAAGTTTGTTCTCTGCAGTAATGATATCCTTTCTCAGTTCTACTTCATTCTGGAGATGTTCATTCCAAGGGACTGAAGCTACAGTTCTTTGGGCATAAATTTAATAAACAACTGGTTTCGCTAACAAGCGAGTTGTGTCCAAGAATTTTTGAGAATTTCCTTACTTGTTAGCCCTTTGAAAAATTACTGTTTTCACTACAATCTCAATTTTCAATAAATAATTATTAAAAAAACATAGTCCAGAAAATAAAAGGTTATTTATTTTTCCTTGGGAAATAAACCTAGATTGTGATATATGCTATGTAAAGGGCAAACTTCTATTCAAGTCAGTAGGGTGCCGTCATGGACAGTATCTTAACTGTTATGAATTCAGCTTGCCATCTTATTTAAAAAAAAAAAAAAAAAAAGCACGCGCACACATAACGGTCGGTAAGTGTTCTCTTATTGACTGATGTAATGGTGGTGAAAGTAGTTTTGTGCCTTATTTTGGAATGTCAAATGTTTTCTGATCATTTTTTAAATACTAGAATATTTGTCTAGATGGGCAGAAAGTTACTTCGTTCTATGGATAGCTATAATTGTTGTTGGATGGTGGAGGGAACTTGTTCTTGCTAACTTTAAAGTCAACTTATTTTTCATATGTTGTGACGTGGACTGTGGCCTGTCCTGTTCTCAAAGAGAGATTAGTAAAACGTAAATTAGTGCAAATTAATGTAATGAGTTTTCCCTCTTTTTTGTAGCACAATGGCTGACAATAAAGCCAAGTCGACCAAACCTGCAAATAAGACTCCTCCAAAGTCTCCTTCAGATCCAGCAAAGGAGCGAGCGGCAAAACGATTATCCTATGATTCAAACAGCTCCCATGAAGGAGCTATGGCAGGAGAAATAAGTGCTCTGGAAGAGGCCTTTAGAAAATTTGCCATCCATGGTGACACAAGAGCCACAGGAAAAGAAATGCATGGGAAGAACTGGTCAAAGCTATGTAAGGACTGTCATGTGATAGATGGGAAGAACGTGACAATCACAGATGTTGACATTGTCTTCAGTAAAATCAAGTAAGTTCCTTTCTGCCATCATTTTCTTATGTCTTCCCCCACATGTTTTCTAGATATCATCTAAATTTCTTCTGTTGCTCACCGGTGTTGTGCTGTGCACTGCATGCCTTTGTCCTAATCTTTCTTTCATGTTCCTTTCTGCAACTGTGTTGCTTCACCTAAGGATACATCTTTCAGTATCCATCCTGATATCTTAACACCTGCAACACTGAAGTCAGTTTAAGGTGTGCAGAGAGGTTTCATATGATCAAGACAATGCATATTGATCTAAGAAGCATGATTTTTTTTTTTTTTTGACTGCACTAAATGCTGTTGAATGTTTGCTGAAGAATGTCTGAATCGAGCCAGGCTGTAGTCTTGTGTCCTTCCAAAGCTCAGCCTCAAAAGGCTGAGGCTAAGGTTGAATATGTACTAAGGCCCAAGTTCCCAGCACAATCTTGATGTCCAGCACAATGCCTGCTCAGGTTTAAACCGGAAGGTACTGGGGACAGTAAACTGATGGTGAGGTTGTGATGAATACCCCCATGGCTGTGACTCATTGGTTAGGATTATTTTAAAGGCCCCAGCTTATTCTTGTGAGTAAGCTGGAGCTTTAATGAAACTTTCTGTCTCAAGTTGAAAATCTAGGCAGGGCTTGATCCAGAAATTATTTGAGTCAAAGGGAATATAGTAATAGGATAAGTTCCTCCCCCCACCCCACCCTGTAACTGATACAGAAGCCTTCCCTTTTCTGCTTTTTATTACCACAGTAACTATTTGAATTGTTCTATACCTCATTGTATTTAGAGGCATGCTGCTGCTTAATTGTATTTGCACCTTGCAGGAACGTTTATTTGGCTTGGGCTCTCAATAGCTGTGGTGTAATGCAGAGGCGAGGACTTGCAAGCAGAATTGCTTGCAAGGGTGGTTGGGAAAACCTGCTACAAACACTGACCCTTCAGAGTGCATCAAGGCATAGAAAGACAAAGAAGAAAAGGCCCTTGACCTTCACGAATTGTCCAGAGTAACATGCACGGTTAGCAGCACATTACTTACTTGATTTGTGAATGACTACATTGTTTATAAGAACCTCATCTACTATTTTTTTCCTAACATTTGTCATCTTTGGAGCCGAAAAATGTGATGCTTGTGACAAGTGTGTTTCTTTTCACAGCTGTTTGTTTCTTTCCCTTTCTTCAGGATCTAGGCCATTGACAACACTACATATGCACAGTCCAGCACTCTTGTTCTTGGATTAGTCATGAGCTCTTACTGGTATTTTTTTTGAAAGTTGTGTTACCAGAGCTAGGCAAGTGAACTAGCTCATTTGAATGGGATGTTTAGGTTGCAGGGTTATTTGTTTCTTTCTTGACTTCTGATGGAAGATGTCAGCATCTATTTTTAAATACTCTTTGGTTTTCATCAACTTAAATGTTTCTCTGTTTCTGTCGCCACAGGAAATAGCAAATCTCAGAGCTACTTTGTCACAGCAGGTTGCGGGCAAGTTAGTGATACAGCAACCCCATGGTATGGCATAAAACGTGCAAGATTTGTAGATTTAAAGCAGTGTCCATTTTGATGCCTTCTAGTACAAAATGAATCCAATTCTGTTGTGCAGGAGCGACCCGGGAACTGTTGGGGACCTGTGGCTAAAGGGGAATGTCAACATACTCCTTTTCATGTTTAGCAATATTTGCATAGCTCAGGAGTCCTTGTGTCCGCGTGTTTGGGGCGATGCCTGTACAGCAGGCATGATGCTTTCTTAGCATTTTATTTCCTGATGGTTGGAAAGTGCTGTCATTTCTGTCTGAAGCAGCATGTCATCTTTTTCTCTCTCAATCCATTAAATACTGGATGTAAAGACAAAAGTAATTTTGCATTTGATTAAGTTATTCTAATATATTGTTTATTAATTATTTGCCTCTTTCTTACCTGCACATGTGCACATGTAGGAAGTATTTTACATTCTTCTCTTTTTAAATTCTTTTATTTTTTTATTTAAGATCGTTCTAGGGGTGGACAGGGAAATTGTCCGTAGCTGAGGTTTGCTATCTCACGCTTTATTAGGAGGGTCTATCTTTTTTTATGTCCATGCTTTCAATAGGTATATTTCCAGATTTCTTAAGTGTATGTTATGATTTTGTTTTCAGAGCGAATGTCAGCAATTCTTTTTTGTACTCTAGATCACATTGATTTCACATATAGTATTTTGAGTTTTAACAAGGGAAGATTTAATGGGTTCAGTTGCTCAAGCATTAGCCACATCCTAGAAGGCTTCCATGTAAGCTGAGTATATGGGATTTCTAGAGTATGTTCAAACAACTACATTTCCTTTTTGCACTTTTACTTCACACTTAACTCGGAGCTAAAGGATAAGGATAATTTGGTGATGCATTAAGAAAGGCCTACGCACAAAATGAACTCTTAACATGTTTCCATTTCGCAGGCAGCTTTTTCCCAGCAGAGCACTAGGGTTTCTTGACAACCCAAGTTTTTCACTGTTTGTATTACACAAAGAACATTAAGCGAACTCTGTAAAAGAATGCCTAACACCCCAGCAAAAATCCTATTTTGCAGGATGGTGCTTCCTCGCCTCAATATGACTTATGCTTATGGGTGTCTTAAGGCTCTTTTCTTCGTTGCTGTTTTTAGGTTCTTCAGCTAGACTTCAAAGTTTGTCTTGTGGGATGGATTTTCACCTGGGATACTTATGGTCATGGTTGTTCAGTGATGGCATTGTGGTGGATCTTGGGAGTTGTAGTCTGACCAGGGAACACAGCCCCTAGGTTAGAGATATTTGTCATACCCGAATTACAGTCACCATCTAGGACTGTGGTAGACTTTGCAAACAGATTTTCAGTCGATCTTTCTCTGCGAAAGCAGCATGTTTGACAGGGCTTGTTTTCTGGCCAGCTGTACTTGTGTTTATGAGAATTGGACATGTTGTTTGAACATTAGAAAATAATTAATCTATAAAATTGTTCTTTGGATTTATGAATTATGTCTATGTGTAACCTCTTTGTCATCTTGCTAACTTCCCCTGGTTTCAAGCATTGATCTGCTACAGATCCTATCAGAACACTAGGTAGGAGCTATGTGTTGCTGATAGGGTAAAGATTAGTTTCTGGAAATTAGCAACTGATATGTTTACTCAAGAGCACCTAAAAGATGGTTTTAATTCACTGATTGGTAACTTTCTCTGCTGCAAGAGAGAGTTTAGCAGTTCATTCCTGAGAAGTAGTGAACACTTTTGTAGATGCAAAACCCCACTGGAACAGGTGGACTAAACTTCTGAAAGTTATGACTAGTCCATGGTATTTCTGTAAAGCTGGAAGTGTGTGTTTGTCTTAAAGCCCTTAGTTCAATTAAGGTTAAGTTTATGCTGTTATAAAGTTTGAGGAAATACTGATGTAGCTTTGCTACAAATAAGAAAATAGCTGTAGTATGCTCTTTTTCCTCTTCATGAGATCAGACTGAAGTGCAATTTGTTCATCTTGCATAAGAGATTCACAGGAAACATTCATATAAATACAGCATTTTTATATACTTTAGGATAAGAGCAAGGAAATGGTCTAATGCAAAGAACACACAGTAGTAGACACAGTAGAAGAATTGCTGGAACTGTTCTTTCGTAAGAAAAGAAGTAAGTTGGTTGATTTTTTTTTTTTTTCTTTCTCCTGAGTATTACTGTTCAATAGTGATATAGAGATTCTTAAGAAAAGTGTTCACAAATCCTAACAATTTGATAGATTTTAATGCATATTGCTATTACAGGTATTGCCATATTAAAATTTCATTTAATAGATGTGTTGTCTTGCATATTTATTGTTTTTCTATTTCAAAAACTTTTATATTGTCAGCTAAGAAAATACAAAAAAATTAAGCAGCAGTGAATTTTATGCTGGAATTACTGGAAATGAACAGCTGAAGGGCAGTTTAGAGAGTGGCCACAAGGATGAATATTTTTGTATAAGTTACTTTCCTGTTGATCAGAGGAAAACCATCTACCTTTTTGCCAAATAATTGGATTGACTTAATTTAAGTTGGGGTAGACTGCCAGATGTATAACAAATAGAAGAGTAAAACTTTTTTTAGGTAAGTCATAAGAACATATAAAGATATCCTACACAATATCATCACTTTTCTATGCATATTGCATCTGGAAAAGGAAAAGAAACTGTGAAGAGTGAATTATAAAGCTTTACAGCATCTTTTGGGATGAAACCTATTAAAATGCATTGAAATCAACAAAGATTTATGTGATGGTAGATGTAATTATATAGTAAGCTTTCTTAGCTGCATTTTATAGTTTCACAGTCAAAACTTGAAATGTTAGACTCTTTCTTCATACCCTCATTGAATCACAAAGTTACAGACCTCTAGAGATCGAGTCCAACCCCCTTGCTCAAGCAGGGTCCTGTAGAGCACGTTGCCCAGGACCTTGTCCAGACAGCTTTTGACTATCTCCAGAGAAGGAGACTCCAAAACCTCTCTGGGCAACCTGCTCCAGGGCTCAGTCACCCTTGCAGTAAAGAAGTTTTTCCTCATGTTCAGAGGGAACTTCCTGTGCTTCAGTTTGTGCCTGTTGCCTCTTGTCCTATCACTGGCTACCATTGAGAAGAGTCTGGCCCCATCCTCTTGACACCCTCCCCTCAGATACTTGTACACCTTGATCAGATCCGCCCTCAAGTCTTCTCTCCTCCAGGCTGAACAGGCCCAGCTCCCTCAGCCTTTCCTCATAGGAGAGATCCTCCAGTTCCCTTTGCTGCACTCGCTCCAGTATGTTACTCTCTCTTGTCCTGGGGAGCCCAGAATTGGATGCAGCACTCCAGATGAGGTCTCACCAGGGCTGAGTAGAAGGGAAGAATCACCTTCCTTGACCTGCTGGTAACCCTCTTCCTAATGCAACTGAGGATATTGTTTGTCTTCTTGGCCACAAGGCACATTATTGGCTCGTGGTCAACTTCTTGTTGGATTGGTCAACTTGTTGGATTGCATACAACAGTAACAGCATGGTTGCAGGGTGCATTTTCATTTCAAAACCTAGTGC